ACGCATGTACGTAGAATGTACAGGGTGGCCAACTAAGACTCCAGAGCTCGATTTCTCTGTGGTCTTGAGAGATACGAAAAAAAGTCATGTATCAAAATTGAAGTAATAACCGAGCTTCACATTTCAAAATTTCTTTGAAATACACAGGGTGTTCCGTAAGGTCACAGCACAACAAAGCTATGTTTTTTTCATTGGAACACCCTATATTTTATTTCATTTTCGAATTCTCCCTGAAGATCTGATTTCAACGACCCATCATACTTAGGGTCTAGCAGTGAAAGTTACTGACATATAGGGTGTACAAAATCGAGATTTTCCAAGTTCAGGATTTTTTTCTGTCGAAACTGTTCATTATTCGTCAAAACGGTTTACATGTCCCTGTCCCAACTTTCCACTCACTATCAATTGGTGTTCAATTGAAATTGATACAAGGTGGTCAAAAAATCTAAATTTATAATTTGTTTCAATTAAATGTTAATTGAACACCAATTGGTAGTGAGTGAAAAGTTGAGATAGGGACATGTAAACCGTTATGACGAATAATGAGCAGTTTCGACAGAAAAAAATCCTGAACTTGGAAAATCTCGATTTTGCACACCCTATATGTCAGTAACTTTCACTGCTAGACCCTAAGTATGATACGTCGTTGAAATCAGATCTTCAGGGAGAATTCAAAAATGAAATAAAATATAGGGTGTTCCGATGGAAAAAACATAGCTTTGATGTGCTGTGACCTTACGGAACACCCTGTGTATTCCAAAGAAATTTTGAAATGTGAAGCTCGGTTATCACTTTAATTTGAATGCGAAACTTTTTTTTGTATCTCTCAGGACAACAGAGGTATCGAACTCTGGATTCTTAGTTGGCCACCCTGTACATTCATTGTAATTAAAAGGTTGGATGCACAATGTATGTTCCAAAATTAACGTCCGTTGGAAGTTCATTTTATGTCAACTCAAGGACTAAAACTCTCATGGACGTTTGATCAACATCCATTGTACGTACAGAGACGGACGTACATTGGCTGATAAAAATTAAACTTACATTGGATGTCCATTTAATGGCCATTCTAAGTTCAAGCATTCATGGATGAAGAATGAACATCATTTATAAGTCCGTCCTACATCGACATCAAATGTGAGTCCACATATGAACATCCATTGTCCAAAGTGGTGTCCTCAGGACTTCCAATGGACGTCCATAGGACGTTAAACGTCCACTCGAGTACTTCCATTGGACGTCCTTACGATCCGACGTGGGCGTAAATTGGACATACATGTGCTGTGTGGGCCTAAGCCTATGTTCCAATAGTTATGACTCTCTTTGTATATCATGGCATGAATAGATGCATTTTATTTCATTTTTATAGTGAACCATTAACCTAACATACATACAACAGACCGTTTATTTTCTATCTCCTGAGACTTATTATTGAATTACCAAATTCAAATTGATTATTATCAATATTTTGTAATGTCTTATTGATACAAAACTTTTATATGGATACAAATTGAGTGAAAACAATAATCAAAGACAAGTTATTCAGAAGAGAATTCAAAAAACCCGCCATGGAATAGGAACCAAACTGAGTGAGAGATCATAATATACCCTTCTCTATTCCGCAAGGAAACGAGGGGACATTCAATACTCGCAATTTATGTTTGTGTCTGTGTGTACCGTGTATACCTACATCGTGATTCCGACATCAAAATTTCAAATTGCTAATAATTTCCCTCGAGGATATGCGACACCGTATCGAATGGTACACCAAGTTACTTAAAATCTAAGACTCATCTTTGACCTACAACGCAGTAGCGCTTACCCGTGGTCGGATATAATTTGTTGAAGCCTTATGGGCATTGCATTTCAACATTTGAAATGTAAATGAACAACACATTGGTTCCATGATTCCCAAACATAAAAGAGAAGTAATATTTGAAACGAAAACCCAAACACCATTGAAAGGTTAAAACTCACTGAGTGAACGTAATATCACGCAGGTTGAGTTAGATTATATAGGCCGGTTTAAGTAATGATCATTCGCAATTATCTTGCAGATAATGTTAAATCCATTCCACAGATGGCGATTTGGATGAAACTCTGAGCAAAACAGTTTTAAATCAAAAACCTTCGCTGCAATTTCCATTGTTAAAGTGGCATAGAAACATTAATCTACAGTATTTTCCGGGTCCATATTTTGCATAAATATGCATATTTTCATTTCGAATTTGCAAGACAGGGCAAAAACACGCAGGGCCCAGAAATAAAGAAAATATCGTTACCAAACCCTGAACCTATAAATCTTGAGCCTATATACCAATTATCCATTAAAACTAATAACTAAACAGGATAAATCCATATATCAATAGAGTCTCTTCCAATCTCTGAATGCCATATAAAAATATACGGCACTCACGAAAAGTATCCGAGGCATACATTTCTTATTGTCAATTATGTGAGACATAAATAAAATTATTCATTTCATCTTATAACAAATGGAGAACCGTTCCCAATACCCAAAAATACTCATTTCTAGAATGAAGACCAAGAAATTCATCATGAAAAATATTCCACTTGGATTTTCTTCTGTCAAGTGTGGAATTAAACCACATTTGGCAAGTTTTGCACATTAAAATTCTTGCAGGGAATATTATTTCACAGAATAGTTAAACCGTTCGTTTCCACAAATACTGCATCAAATGGGTTTCTATAAAAAATCCGCTTGGTTCTTCATCAAATGTGCAACTCTTGGGTATCAACTTCATTTATGAAACTAAAGAATTTTTCATCAGAATTGATACAGGTTATCCAGTGTTTTATGGTAAACCTACGTAAAATGCTATATGAGAACGTAAAAGGTGATCAACTGTTATTCATCCTCCTTATACTCTTTTGTTGAAAAACTTTAACAAGAATCAGAATGTCGTTTTTGAATGGACACACCCTGTATATTTTCACATTTTCTTTTCACAACAGAAATGCTAAAAGGAACAACGTTGGTACTGGAGAAACAATTGACCATTCTAGAACATGTGATTTTGACATGGTTTCTTGAGGGGCACACAAACTATCTGTTAGGTTACCTTTGATGAGCATAGCCCCTGGCCATCCCTGCCATATCCACAACATAATAACTGTTTTACCAAACAAAATTATGAAATTCTTTCTGATTCCAACTCGGATTCCAAGGAAAACGATCCCACTAATTCTGGTTTTATATGACAAATCTTGACAAAATACAATGTTTGCCCCTCAGCAACTTGTCAAATGACGTAATTCTTGAATGATTAATTTTGTCATAAATCAATAGCAAAACTCTATTGGATTTCTGACATTATATAAGATAAATCATTTTTACTAAATTGTGTCTACTTCCTCCAAATAGGGACTAAAAATGTATCATAGCTTCTGTCAAACTATTGAATAGTAACATACCAATGAATAGGATATGTACCTTATTTTGGTAACAATTGGATGAAGTCACTTTAGTCTATATAATATACAATTGCGCAGTTCAGCTATCATTGGGAGAGAAAAAATAATGTCTTCCCCATCTGGCCTCATCTTCAGTGTTCCAACAATGATGGAAATAAGTAGATGGTGTACTTACTGATGCGCTTTTGTTTCAGAAATTCTTCTCGACCTCCCGAGAGTCCCGTGAACAATGTTTTTAGCTGTTTTCGGATAGATGGCGACATTGCACAATTATGACATCGGTCAATTTTTAAATTGCCGCAGATTTTTCGAATTCAGAGTTAAATAATCCCACTGTTACATATGTTCCGCGTACCTAAAATGCCATTTGCCATTTCATTTCCACTCGTCACAGCAGCAATAGCAGCATCACTATCTAGCGGGAAAATGTAGAATCAACGTCTCGCTCGATGTGACGTAGAGAGATCATAGTAGGCGGTGGAGTGATTTTTCTTAAGTTTCCAATAGATAAAAATGGCCGACTACGCGCACCATCTACTCATTTCCGTCATTTTTCCAATGTAACATAATGGAAATTTTAGGTTGATTACATTGGAAATGGGAAAAAATGGAGAAGAATAACATGTTAACCTCAATATGAAAAAAGGTTAGGATGGTCTTCTTCTCCATTTCTTCTCATTTCCAATTTTGCCAACATGAAATTTTCATGATTTTATGGCTATATTCCGAATTCAACTGGTCAGTACTGTCAGTAGATCCACTAACTCTGCTAAAAATCTGTGTTCCGAAATATAAAATCAAAAATACTGTGCTGTAATTCGGAACACGTTTTCATGGTTTTCATCAGAAGTCAGCAGCAGTTGATCAGCTGGTGAAATTTGTAAGTCTGTAGTTTCTCGTTTATCTGAACCGAGATCTGAACAAGCCTCCTGGTTGACATACATTTTGGAAATTTAATATTCAACATGGAAGAGCAATCGGTTCTTGTAGCCTTCTTCTTCATAGTTTCTTCGATTGTTGACGATGACGATTCAAGATCGAGTGATGAAGAATACTTGGACATTTATGTAATATGGCATTAATGATGATGAATTTAGGAGACATTTCATCAAGTTTATTTAGATATTTATTTACCCAATGCTGCTTCTTCGTTCGTTTTACCTCTTCTACTTCATACTCCATTTTATTCTCAGCGTTTATTATTTCAATAATAGGTATTTTCTGATATTGAGAATAATATAATCAACAATGGAGATAAATGTTACATTCTTTCCCCCTCCAAACTAATGACAGTTTACTGAAGCCACACTACCTTTTGATACTCAGCAATTTCAGCAGAATGTTGAGTCGAAATATTTGGAATGAATATAGTATATCTGCTCACAAGCATCTATCACATTCAGTACTTTTTTTTTATTTCGGAATGAAAAATCAGCAGATTCAGTACTGTCAGTTGAATTCGGAATATAGCCTATGTTGGAACACTGAAGACAAGGATATAGATGGGGAAGAAATTTTTTTCTCTCTCAACGCTAGCTCTGAAATGCTCTATTGGAGAATTTTCAAGCTAAACCAATTGTTCAAAATTTATAAAAATACATTGTCCGCTGTTCTTTTTTTCTCAATAAAAACACTTTATATTTCGATAGCTATCAAACGAGTTAAGGAGGATTCAATCATCCAGTGCACCAACTACATATAAATTATAAAACCCATTACAAAACGTAGTAATCAGAATTCTCATAGTCGCTAGCCTTACCTTCACCGTCCCTCTTCACGTTCACCCTCATTTTCTTGTTGAATTTACTGTGCCTCTACCGCCCTTGAAACCCCCCCTACCTCTGTAATTCGAGCCTCCGCCCTTATTACCAGAGGCACCGGCTTTAGGAGCTTGTCCCGGATTCTGGCGGTGACCACCATGATGCTGATCGTTCGGATGGGGGCCGTAATAGTCCCCTTGACGGGGATCTCTGTAGCGTCCGGCCTCGAAGGGGGGAGCGTACGCCCCAGCTGCGGGGGGAACGCCGTAAGCCCCAACTGCTGGGGGAACGCCATAGGCCCAAGCTGCTGGGGAAACGCCGTATGCCCCAGCTGCTGGGGGAACGCCGTAAGCCCCAGCTGCTGGAGGAACGCCATAGGCGCCCGAGTGGGGTGGGTAACGGTAGGGGTAGTAGGGGTCCGGATGTGGGGAGTAGTAGGGGTCTCGGGGAAGATGGGGTTGGTCGGGTTTTGTGACAGTTATGTTTATATCATAGGAGGGGTCGTTTCTTTTTGGTTCATTGGTATCTGCAACAGAAGAATCACAGTCATACAACTAGAAGAGCAGATCATTTTTCTGCTATGAAAATTATATTCTACTACAGGCTGTATAATATTTCTTTGCGCATACGTCACAACTTCAAAAAACGAATCAAATCAATTCAAGGTCATATGTTTCAGTGAAGCAGTGCCGTGCTGCTTCAGAAATCGTGTGAAAATGAATAATAATATTCAGAAAATTTTTATTCCCTACTCCAGGTAATTTTGACTAGGAAACATTCAATAGAACATAGGATTGGTATATATTTCGAATTGGAACTCTTGAATTCGTCAATTTATTGAAGGCAAAAACATGTATCAGAACTTTGGTATGTATGTATGTATGTATGTATGTATGGGTTGGTATATGACCCGATATACACATCTATTTAATGCTTTTGTAAGGTATTCTGTGGTCGTGACAAAGCCGAACACTGTTGAGTCGTTTTAGGTATTTGGTATATGTATTACTATGCAGCATTTTTCACAAAACCACTACTATAGCCATGAAGCATGAAGTACAATAAATCGTCTCACATCATAACCTTCTGGTTTACGAACACTTTTTGTACTTTGATCTTGCCATATGATCTCATCTTATTCCCTTTCGCGAATATCCATCATTTAAGAAGACGATTTGTCTAGGGTGACTAGAATTGCGATTTTCATAAAACTTTCTGAAAATCTCTGCTCTCATTATAGATATGGCCGTCTTCTCAACCAATAACCATCTGTTGTCTTCTTTTTTATATTTGAATCCTACATTTGTGAGGAGTTTGCTCAATGTGCCTATACTTGCGTCAAGAATATATTTAGTTTATTTTAGTTCTGAGTTCTTCTTTCAAAATTCTAAGAGTGATGTGTTTTTCTGTGAAATAGTCAGTTGATGGTAGTCAAGAAGTATCAAATGAAATCACTTACTTTCTGCATACATAGTATATATAGATCACATTTCGTACTTCCATTTCCAAATTATCATCCAGATCTACTGTCTTGGGTTTTTTTTAGTCCTAGATTTCCCTGGCGTACTCAAACTTTCGTTTCTCTCAGAACGTACTTTTATACCCGAAACTGTCCGCAGACTAATATTGAGGGTAAATTGAGGGCATCAGCGACACGCTTGAATGATATACATCATGATGATATTGTTGAAGTAAGGTCTGACTATTTTTGTTATTGATCAAGAAGAATTATGAGTGAACGGGATTAAAGGACCATTATTATCTTCATCTCTTGTGAAATATTGTCACAAATTCGATACAAGACTTCGTGCTTGCGAATTCAACCGTCTTCCTGGCATGTTGAATATTTGACAATGGCCACGCAGAACGATGTCATTTCAGCACCTACTGCACGCCTCAGAATTAGCCGATTCAAATGTGTCTTGACATACGAAGACCTCTGTATTCAAGCTTTTAACCCGTTGAGTCTAAAAACGATGTCGTAACTTATGTCAACAAACGTCATTGACATTGCTGCTCTATATGCAAGTCACACGCAAAGAAATATTATACAGACTGTAAACAACGAGCCTTCCCAGCCATTTCTAGATCTCGAAATATATGGTTCTGAAATACCCTAAAATATTTCGAGATTGTTTTCCATCAATTCATCGTAAAAAAAAGTTATTGAGAACTCCAAAATGAAAGAGCGAGTGGACTGATAATGAATTATGGGCATTCAATTACTCCACTGTGTCGTAAGGAACCTAAATTAATGTTTGCAACACTTCTCGTGCCTTTTTTATGTGAATAATAGGTCTATGCGTTGTTCAATATTATTGAATTCCACAGCTCACTGCAAACATAACGTCATGGCCGCCATTTGGCGATACGTCGAATAAATGGTGACGTCAATTCTTATGCTGTTTCGTTATTGGTCAGATAATCTTCAATTTCCACTCATAAAGCAATATATATAATCTGATAGGTATTTTGAGCCGATACCACTCGATACATCTAGAAATCTCAGAGTAGCTACTCCTTCGATTTATTTTTACTACATGTGACCAATATTTTTAAAACGAAAATTGTTTGCCTGTATGTCACTGTTGTAAATTATTCCTTGATAATAGAATGGGTTCGATCTTTTCACTACATATATCATGTTAAAAAAAATACCACCTGTATACAAAATATCTTCCCCCTCCGTTCAATTTTATCATCATCGTTAGTCATAGATAAATCATTTGTTCGGAAATTAATCGGTTAGCATGATTCAACTTATTAGTCATTCATTCGGGGCCAGGTGGTAAGTCAAGACAGTCTTATATTAGATGTCCTCACGTAGGGTCGAATTTTGTGATCGAAATCGAAAAATACGCGTAAGGAATTATTTATCGTTCTAAACTGAGTGCTCCCTGAAAACTGAGTGATCGTATTGAAAGTGTTTTTGTATTCCTCATTAGATTCAATGATAATAATACCGGGATCGTGTGTTGATCTAGTGTTTCGTGTTGTTTCATCGAAGCCTCACTTTTTTCACGCTGGTGAGTGCAGAGAAATTTATCTCAATTTTTTCTCATATTTCCCTGTATTCATTACCCTTATACAGGGTATGTCACGACGAGCTTACACTATCTTTAAATTGAGAATCAGTCGGGAGAATTCCATGAAAATGTGCATGCTCATATTTTGGTATACGTTCTTTTCATTTAAAATATGTTCGACAATGCAGTATTGCCGCTTCTACTAGAAAGTAGTAGCAACATTGATATTTCAAACGGAACACCCTGAATTTTATCGCATTTTAAGATTCTCCCTGAAGAGCTGATCTCATCGATACATCATACTTGGGATCTATCGATAATGATAACAGAGATATAGGATGTTCAGAATCGATATTTTTCAACTTTAGGATTTTTTTGTGTCGAAAATATTCATTATCGGTCAAAACGGCTCACATGTCCCTATCTCAAGTTTTATTTCACTATTTACTGATATTTAATCGGAACAGATACAGGGTGGTTCAAGATTCAAAATTCTGATCACATGCATATTTTCATGGATTTCTATATAATAATACTGTCAGTATATCCGTGTTCAATACTTCATCTTATATTTTGTATATTATATATCTTTTCCCCCCGTATAATTTCATCATCATTAGTCATAGATTTCCCCCCCGTATAATTTCATCATCATTAGTCATAGCCCACCGCATAATTCCATTATCATTATTCATAGATCAGTCATAGATAAATCATTTATTTTGTTCAGAAATTAATCGGTTAGCAGCATGATTCAACTTATAAGTCATTCATTCGGGACCAGGTGGTGAGTCAAGACAGTCTTATATTAATTATCATCACGTACGGTAGGATTTTGTGATCGACATTGGAAAATACGCGAAAGGAATTATTTATCGTTCCAAACTCTTATTATTATCCATATTCTCAGATTGGAAATTTGTCTCGTAATACCCTGTACTAATTATATAATTTCCTATGGTATATTATATTTATATCCAGCCCGCATTCCTGGATAAGGTGATTAGTCATAAAATTTCAACCCCCTGTTGAAATATGAATAACATTTTTTCTGCTTTGAACAATTTGAATTTGGTTCACACTGTTTGCTAGCCCAGTCCTTCAGCTCTATAAGCTCGTACTTCTTTGAAACATGAGGTTCTTCATATAAGCTCGCTACAGGGTGTCACCTCAAACTATGAGAAATTTTTGAATTTTCAAAAGGATCCCAAATGAACGAACACTTTTTTTTCAACTTTGACAGCAGATTACCTTGAGACATTTTTCGAATTGTCTTATTATCCCTTTTACTTTACAGAGTGATATCGAAAAATTAATTTTTAGGTTTTGCAGTCATAACTTTTTTCCTTCCCAACCGATTTTTAAAATCTCAGGCTCATTTTGAAGATGAAACTTCAGATGAAGAGATTTGAAGATCAGAATTGACTCAAGATGAACATTGCACAGTGTGTCTCACTTTTGATGGAACCTTCTCTGTATCTTTCGTATTTGTTTAGTTAGGATTCTGAAATTAACAGGAACGGTATATATATACTGAAAGTACACACTATGACCAAGTGGAGTCATCTCCAGTAATATACACTGCTTGCTAACAGCCATGGAACCATCCACAAAAATGAAATAGGCGAGTTGACTGAATTTTTTTATTTCTTAAATAGAATCATCACTCCAATAACTTTCAATTTCATATATTTATAGAATTCTTCATTCGATTTGAAATTTAAGTAAAAACTGACGTCACGATTTCGTAAGTAGGGACAGACCATAGCACAGTTGCCATATGTTGAAATACGATTGGAACTCAGGAAATATTAGTTATTCAATAATTCATAAATGCTCAATTTTGTATTGGTTATATTCCTAATTAGACATAAAAATCAATTGTCTTGAAATATTCCCTTATCTGTTGTGGCTTATTGTTTATAATACATTTGTGTTGATATTAATATTATTATATTAATTCCCACCAGAAGATATTTGAGGGTAAACTTGACAACCCGGCGCACGAATTGTGGGCGGTGCCTTGTCAGTTCTCAGCATTCAGAACATTGTTGCCAAGTCTTCAACATCAAGATGATATTTTGTTATAGGGTACAAGAGATATACAGACATGCTGGTTGCTCGAAAAAGTCAAGAATGATCTATAATATCATGACTTACTCTTATTATGTTTTATCTCGTGTTTTATCCAACGACAAGATTATAATTGGTGACTTGACAGCGTTGCTTCATGAGTGGAAATTAAAGATTATTTTTGCAGTATTGCAGTATCATTGCAGAGAAAAGTGTTGTTTATCTGTCTGCCTCGTCTTCATTGAGATAGTTGATGAATTGATGAATTACAAAAATATATCGCGTTCCAGTTACGAATGTTGGAAATATTATTCAGGGATGTTTCAGATTCATCATCCATGATCCGCCTCTCATGAAAATCAGTATTGATTTTTATGGACTTCGATATTTGATGTCATGTTTGTTTGCAGATCTGAGAAGCAAAGTGTTTGATACTTGTCACTGAATCGGAGAAAACTATCCAGTCACGACGAATCGAACAAAAAATCCGCAAAGAAAAATGGCCAGAGAATACTTTACAGAATTCAGATCCTTATATTCGTACGGAAAGCTATATATTGATATCCTTTCCAGATACTCATGAAAACAGATCACAGATATTCACCTTTATTTTTCTATGGAAACACGACAGTTACGAATGTTGAAAACAATATCCAGACTTTTCATAGATTTATATTCTATGTTGGTCTCACGATTCATATTTGAAATTGATCATTGACATTCAACGTCAATGTACTTCATCTGATGATATTAATTTTCTGATTTAAATGTATGTACTTCGATTAATAGGTGATGTTAAGTTGCAGATCCGAAAAGCTTTGTTTGATACTTGCCACTCAATCGGTGAAAACCACCCAGTCAAGACGAACCAAACAGAAGATCTGCAAAGACACCTGACCACAGTATACTTCACAGAATTCAGATCATTATATTCGTACGGAAGGCAATATATTGATATCCTTTCCAGATTCTCAAGAAAACAGATAAGACAGATATTCACCTTTATGTCTCTGTGGAAACACGACAGGTACCCTTACGAGGGGAGAGTATCAACTCGGCGTTTATAAACCCTCTCTGCAAAGGAGGTAGACGCATGGTGGGTTAGGTATATACAGTGTTCTTCATTGCAGAGAAAATTGTTGTTTATCTGCCTGTCTCGTCTTCATTGAGATAGTTGATGAATTGATGAATTATAAAAATATATCGCGTTCCAGTTACGAATGTTGGAAACAATATCCAATATTCTATGTAGGTCTCACGATTCAAATTTGAAATTGATCCTGAGTTTCAGATCCGAGCAGCACATTGTTTGGCATGCAAGGTCCTTAACATAACCCACGTAATTGAAAATGTGGAAGATGCCTACTAGAAAAACCACTATTCGGAAAGAAAGCGGATATGTAGCAATCCAGTTACGGACGATGAAAATATCATTCAGGTATGTCTCAGATTCAACGTCCATGATTATTTCATTCTACAAAAATAACAATAATGCAATGGAAGCTCGAGCGGAGTATCAACGCATTCATCCTGGAATGCCAGTTCCTTCCATAAGTACGGTTTATTTCACTGCGAGGAGTATGAGAGAACGAAATAATCTTTAAAAAAAAACACTGCCATTGCTGATGGATATGGAGAATTGGAAATATTGCTTTATTTCCAAGGTAGAACAAACATTGAATTGCTTATGAAGTAAATATTTGTGTTCATGAAAAATATAATTATTTTTAGAAAACCCCACTTATTCCACTACGGATGCATCTAATCATATTGGCAAAAGTACTAAAAAAATTTTCAATGTTCTACATGAACATGGATATCACCCATTTATGCCAGTGCAAAAGCTTACAGACAATCATAAAATTGCAAGACAAACATAATGCACAGAAATGATGCTGAGAAAAGACGAGGATAATGATTTTTTCAAGAAGGATTTATGGACTGACGAGGCATCGTTTACCACCGCCGGTGTTTAGTTGTTTACCACCGCCGGTGTTTACAATCGAAAAAACACCCATATCTGATCAACTCATAATCCACATGGATACGAAGAGATTCAGCACCAGGGTCGCAAATCCCTCAATGTCTGGTGCGGTATTTTGAAAACCCAAGTGATTGGACCAATTTTCTTTCAGGGTTCTTTAGCAGGAGATAAGTATTTGCAGTTTTTAAACAATGGAATTGAAGATCTGTTGAAAAACCTCCCACTCAGGCAGTATAATGAATTGATCTGGCATCAGGATGGCGCGCCACCTCATGCCCGTACGGCATCACTTGAATGATCGTTATCAAACGTGGATCGGAAAATTTGGAACATTGGAATGGCCACCGAACAGTCCAGATTTAACACCTTTAGATAACTTCCTATGGGGCTATTTGAAGAATTAAGTGTATAAGGAAAGTAGTAGAAATTTGACTGATTTGAGAGGAAGAATTTTGGAATGCATTAACATATTGAACAATCATCACTCCAACTTCATTTGCAATTCGATAAATAAATTGGATAAAGACTACAGAAAATGTATACAAAACAACGGCGGTGACATCGAACATCTGTGAAATTGCATCTCTTTCAGTTATAAAAGTGCGTTTTTTTCTTTCATGACAGTTGCGATTTGGTAAAATCTAAAATGTTCAACCTCGAATATCTCGAAAACGGCTGAACCAAATATCAATGACCAATATATTTTTGGAATCAGGAAGAAAATATCTTGATCTTTTTCGAAAAATATATAGGGTGTCCCATTGAAAATAACGAAGTTGGTACCCATTTCTTATATCATCGATATTCATTTGTTTCATCTGGTATAATTTTCTGGAGGTTCAGAACAAACTCAACAACTTTTGCATTCGAAGTTTTGCGCTATCTTCAATGATGAACCCTGTAGAAGCTGTTTAAATATACGGAATGACCCTTTACAATTTTACTTACATCTATAATGACGACCGTATCCATTTGGATCTCCGTGCGCCACATAAGGACCTCCAGGTGGAGGTGGAGGCCCGTAAGCGTTGGCCCTATAAGCACCCGGCGGAGGTGGATAATAGCCCCCGTGGGAGGGATGAGGACTATGGGCTCTCACATGAAGGGCTCGATTTTGCTGGGCCTCCTGGTAACACGGCGGGGGGCTCTCTGGCATTGATCTTTGATTCTCGAATCTATCTCCACCTTAAAATTATTTTGATGAAATCACTGACATAAACTACTATCTAGCCAGTGTTTGATTTTTTCAAATCGTTAGACTTTCGAAAATAATAGTGCCAGTATATCCGGGTTCAATTCTTCATCTTATATTTTATATACTATATATCTCTTCCCCTCGTATAATTTCATCATCATAGTTGTCATAGATGAATCATTTGTTAGGAAATTAATCGGTTAGCAGCATGATTCAACCTATTAGTCATCCACTCGAGACCAGGTGGTGAATCAAGACAGTCTTATATTAGATGTCATCATGTACGGTCGAATTTTGTGATCGCAATTGAAAAATACGAGAAAGGAATTAATCACTGACATAAACTAATATTTTTAACAAGTTAACTCTGGGTTTCCTCAAGGAAATCACTGTGGTCCTTTACTATTCAACTTATTTGTAAATGACATTGCTCTCAGTATAGAGCACTCTCAAATTCTACTTTTTGCGGATGATCTGAAAATTTTCAAAGTTATTGATAAGGAAAGCAATTGCCAAGAACTACAGTGTGATATTAATAACCTCGTTCGATGTTATAATTTAAACGGAATGGATTTGAACCATAATAAATGCTTCTTCATAAACTTCAACAGATGTCAGACACCTATAGATTATACATACTCCATTAACTCAATAGATCTCGATATAGTAACTCAAATAAAAGATCTTGGGGTATTATTGGATGACAGACTATCTTTTTCAGCACATAATAATGATATCCCTGAAAGCACGCAAGATGCTTGGTTACATCAAGAGGGTATCCAGAGATCTGTCAATCAACTCCTTTAAGGTTCTCTACTGCGCTTTTGTCCGTTCATACTTGGAGTATGCGTCGGTGGTGTGGAACCCCCAGTATCAGATTTACATCAACATGCTAGAAACAGATTCCAACACAAATTCTTGAGAGCTTCAGCGTCACTAAGTCAAAGGACACCTTTCACAATAAGCATCATTACAGAAACTATGGGTTCCACAGTCATCTAACGAGAATGGTAAGGAGGGCAAATGATGTGGATTTGAACTACTTCGGAATACCCTTATCTACTTTCAGACTTGAGCTGAAAAAATACTTGGCTTAGTGATACTAGACGTTTGTATGTGATTGATCTCTCATCATAACAAGAGTTTTTACAATTTTGTGTAGCATAATATGTATTGTTTCCTTCATAGATTTGTAGAACCACTGTTTAAAAGTAGGAGTGTTGATGTCCTTCTAGTGAGTGAGTATTTGTTGGAATATTTCAAAGACTGCTATTATTATTTATTGTTTTAAGATTTTACTTGTACAGTGTTGTAATGGATATTTCCGTGAATAAATAAATAAATAAATAATTAGACCGCTAATGCCATAAGAAAGAAGGCATGCCACTCACGGGATTGAACAGGGTGATTACCGCCATTGACTCATCAAAGGAAAAGAAGAATACAAATGCAAATTTGGCAGAGAGAATTTGAATAGCTGTGTCCCACTAAACATGTAATGTTACAAAATATTGCCACAATAAAATGTTTAGCTTTCTTCTGCGATATGAAAATGCAATATTGTATCGATTTTGCTGCTATATTCGCGTTAACAATCTAACAAAAAAACATACTGACAATTTTTTTGTAATTTACAAAGTGACCCTTTCATTTCAGTTTCAATAGCAATATTGCATCAACTATATATTCTCATTAGAATTGCAACCTCACATGGACTATCTACAAACAATGCAACGTTTCATATGGAACTATCGGTAAAATTTCATTAGCAATGTTGCATCAAAATTGATAATTCATTGGGTTTGTGAATAACATTAGCTCACTACAAACAATATAGCTGGCTTATGAGATGCAACACATATTTGATTATAAATTATAATATAGCTGAAATATAAAAAATGCTACATTGTGTATCCAGCTAGACACGCCATTTCATGAAATGCCAACGCGCAGTCGCTCTAATATAGCAATCGACAAACACCAGTATCGGCAGCATCTCAGTCGCCATAATTGTTGATATTCGGCTTCGGCATCAGGCATTTCGTTGTTGTATAAATTGCCAAGTAAAAATATCAACTTCAAATATTGTTCTTCACAGAATATTCTCCCGGTCCCATGGAATATTCATATTAGCAATATCATAAGGATACCCTCAGCATACTTTATTGAAGGTAGGTATCAATGGATTTTTGAAAAAAATATTATTCTCAGGGTCCACAAAATATTCAGAAAAGCATAGATATTCAATTGGGGTTTAGAAAATGCTGGAACATTTGAAAATGAATATTTTCAGAATCAAGTATAGAATCTTTGTGAACTAATAGGTAGATTCCTGATTATTTCATTTTATTATTCTTTCCTTATTATTTGTTCCAGGTTCTTGTGCAGTACCAAAGCCACACTAATAATTACTCTATTACTTTTCTTAAATGGCAATAGAGTAATGAATAAAGATAATGGACCTATTCCATATATCCCTCTCTGTATATAGTTTAGTGATATAGGATCAAGGTGAACATGTGAACTCAACCATGACAAACATTAACTTGGTGGTTAGTGCATTTCACGGTTTAGTGGTCATATACTTTATAGGACTTATAAGTAGCACACTAGAATAGAATATTTTTGGTTTTAATCTTCTCCTGAAGATGATAACATAGTTAGCGAAGCACGTGTCGAGGCATATAAAAAATATGTTTGGTTAGTTTTAAAACAGTGTAGTGTATACCGGGTGGATACTTTACCTGGAATAAATTAATTACTGGAGGAGTGATGATTTTTCTGAAAATTTGCAGAACACGTCGACGTTTGAATGTATTTACCTACATTTGGCGAGCAATATGGAGAATATAACCCTTCAGGGATAGCTGAAAACATGTTTTTTTCAAATGCAATGGCTTTCGACCCTTCATTGGAAATCTGGGTAAAATAAGAATCCAGCATACTGATCATATTTCAGTTTGCAGTAAGTTTGGGGGTCGCATAACATCGAATTAAAATTTCGTAGTTTGATATATTTTCATCAAAATTTCGACTTTTAGTGACAGTGATATAGGGCATTTCCACTCGTTTGCAATAACACTTCGTTTCGAATTGTGAATACGGCAAAAAAATTGAATTTCTTTAAGCGGCTCTATAAAATCATTGGAATACAATAGGACATACCAGTTGTGGCAAAATATTGTCATCAATTGTTCAACACAACTTCTGAGCGATTGATAGTTGAAAAAAAAATTATTTGAAATTACATTTCAATTTTATGCAACCTTTAAACGTATAAGAAACTAAAATTTGACTAGTACGCTGAATTCCTCTTTCCACCAGCTTCCCAATGAGTGGCCACAAGCCAACAAAAATCATCTTGAGGGTGGTATCAGCTACTCCTGGAGGAATATATTCTCGATATTGCTTGCAAAAGAAAAGTAAACCGCTTGCTAACACATTTATTCCAGTTAAATTCTCAACACTGTATGATATTGACATGAAGAGTTCAAATTGCAGAAGTCTGATGAAAATCACTCCTGAACATCTAGATCATGGACCCTTCAAAAATGATAATAGACAACTGCATTGAATCATCGTGACATCATTGCTTGCAGAAATCAACTGTTTTGGTACACCCTTTAGATACATCTACATTGTAGTTCAAGATCTTCATACCTCTATTTTGGATCCTGTTTTCGTTGCCCGCACCTTGACGTTTATTCTTGTTATCAGAATTTTTCTTGTCATTATTTTTCTTATCCTCTTTCTTCTTATTGCTTTGTTCCCCTTTCTTGAGAGATTTTTTGTGGACGTATTCTGTTTTTTGGTACTCTTTTGCTCTGGACTTTTCCTGGCACTCGTACAGTTCCTTGATCTTCTGGCCAGAGTGTTTGAGCTTGTACAATCTTTGGATGCTGTCGGAGACCACTTCAGGTGTCATCACACTGTCGGTACAGTCTGATGTCTTGTTCTGCTCTAGGGCTTCATCGAATGATTTCTTCATTTCATCATATTCTCTTAGAAGTCTTCTGAGATGTTCGACGGTTTCATTAACGCACCTTTCACCCATTGATTGCTCTCTAGAAAATGCACGTGTTGATGAAATCTTTACACTCTTGACTAGCAAATGGGCTTGTGCAATTCCCTCAAAAGCAGAGGATTTTACAGATAATTCTAAATAGCCTTGGAATAATAGACCCCTTTTCGAAAAAGCTTTTCAAGGCCAGTTATATCTTCGGCTACATCCTACCGTCCCATCAGTCTCACCTCTTTTCTCCTGAATGAAGAGAATAATAGACTGCTATGTTAGAAGGGAGCTCCTCGAATTGAGAGCGCTTCACAAGAAACAGTTTGCCCATCAAGCAGATAGATCCACGAACAATGCTCTACAATGCGTAATTGAAAGCATTAAAAAGACATACGTGACAAAAGACATGGCTGTGCGCAATCAATCACATAGACGGTGCATTCGGTAACACCTCACATGCCTCCATAACCAGATCACTAGATGCTAGGAATATCAACGTCTCATACCAGATGAATACTTATGCAATCAATGACGAAAAGCAGAATCATTGTAGCGACCTTCGGGGGAGAGACAGTCAGGATGACAGTGGGAAGAAGGTATCCCCAAGGGGGAGTTCTCTCGCCGTTGCTGTTGTCATTGATTGTCGATGCAAAGCTACACGAATCTGGTTTCACACCTCAAGGTTTCGCCGATGACCTGGTGTCGTCACTCCTAGCAAAACATTGCTGGTTTCATTCACCAGAAGACGAAAGTACACTTAAAGCCTCGTCTCTGAATGGAACACATCAGGTAAGATTTTCCAGTGAGGTGGAATATTTAGGCGTTACAATCGACCAAAAACAGAATGTCTGAAACTTTGATGGAAAATAATTATTCGGTCATACATCGTCAAACCGATGGTCACCTACGCCTCACTGGTATGGTGGCAAAAAATGCAACAAACGTCGGCACAATTCGAGTAGCAAAAAGTGCAGAGGCTAGCTTGTCTGGGAAGCAGAGGGGCAATATTTACGTGCCCCACTGCAGCATAAGAGGTAATTCTAAACCTGCCGCCATTGCTTCTAGGTGTAATGAAAAGAAACAGCAAACACTGCCCCTAGACTGAACCAGACAGCAAGCAGTATAACTGATCGGACACCCGAAAATTTTGGAATACATCTCCCTAGAAGCTATGTCCAAACCGAAGGATATCATGCTGATTAGGTAAGACTTCGAAATCATTAACAACCACCAAATTTACACAGAGAAGGGACCTCAACTTGGGAAGGGATGCATCACTGTCTTGGTACACAGATGGATCCAAGATGGACGAAACTGTTGGAGTGGGCGTTACAGGGACAAAATTCAGGCTCTCAAAACCTCTTGGTAATACCCGAACCACTAAACATGCTATAGAAATAAATATGTGCCCATGCATGCCTTGAAATGGGTACCCGAAGGGCAGAGATCTACAGTATACTGTCAGCCAAGCAGTACTGAATGCTCTGAAGTCACACACCTGTGAGTCTTAATTGACTTGATACTGTAAATAATCTTTGAGACAAGAGTAGGCAGCAATCAAACCAGACAATTTCCTGGCCCAAAACCATTCTGTGGATTCTCCAAAAGAGTTTCGACGCTGGGAAATCGATGGATGAAATCTCACTGGAACAATATGTGCCAGGACAAAGACAAGTGAAAAAGCTCAGTGAGTATATCGCCAAGGAATGCTAAACTGCTTCTTCGAGTTGGACAAGAATGACTTGAAAGATAGAAGTTCAGCAAGCGTTGAGAAAGAAAAAATATGTCTTCCAAATATGTCTTTGTCTTCAGTGTTCCCACGTAAAATAATGAAAATATAATGTATGAAGACATATTTTCTCCCTCTCAAAGATAGCTGTACTTCTCTATTGGTAACGGGGCACCTCACTGGACACTTCCCTCAAGAGTATATCACCTCAAATTTATGGGTAACTCAGTGATAGTTGCCGCTACTGCAAGATTAACGCCCTCCCACGTCAGGAATTTAGCTCCTTTCATTTCAGTTATTTAGGTCAATAATTTTTGCACAAAAAATTAAGTGGACCACTCGAATTTTCACGTTTTTTAAAATGCGATTACTTTTTTGCAAATCAACCGAATTTCAATCGGAATGCAGTGTCTAGAAAATGCGTCCTTTCTGTTCAAGATTGATTGTTCGAAACTCTTCGAAGTTTTCCTTCCAGTTATGACATACCAAATGGTCAAAAAGAGTCTTACATAATCCAGAAAGTTTAGGAGCTCCCGTATTTCCCAGGAATTTTTTTATTCTTCTGCAAATCAACTTTATCAAAATTTCAAGTCAATATCTCCAAATTGTTATGGAATTTCTGACCTTCATTATACAGTATGTGAAATATCGACTTTTTTTTTGAAATTCTGTATTTTTTATGCATTTCTGTGGATTTAAAAAAGTTCAGGTGATATTCAAACCGTACTGCACTGTAATACGATCAAATTAATTCCTGATGAAATTATCACCTGGCTTCGAGAGGGATGAAAAAACTTATTGGAGATGTGTTTAAGAAAACTTGCGAAGGGAGAGCACATACAATGATTTCTGCTATAGACGGAGACGAGGTATCCACGAGAGGTGAGCATTTACACCAATCAGATGCTCGTAGAAAAGAAGTCAAATCTTCTCAGGGAAAGTGCAAGAGAAAAGTGAAGGAAACGTGCACTAACACGCTGATGCTCTTAGATTCCATCCAGAGAAGAGCCATTCGCCTGGTGGGTGACGCCACACTCACTCACTCTTTGACATCATTGGAACACCGGGGAAAAGTCGGCGACCTTTCACTTTTCTATCGATACTTCCACGGGAAATGTTCTTCGGAAATCTCTGCAATCATCCCTTCACTAGCAGTACCAGTCTGACAAACTAGACAAGCGCAGTCAACACATCCTTTCGTTGTCAACTTCGAAAGATGTCTCAGCACTTTATCAAAACTCCTTCATCCATAGAACGGCTAGGCTCTGGAATTCATTGCCTGAGGAAGTATTCCCAACAACATATAATCTCCAGAAGTTCAGAAAAAAATGCAATACCTACTTCCTGTCCCTATCCTCCCTAGGAACGCACGATATGTTCTTTGAACATTATAGGGATTTCCTTTCGTGCGCTCCAAGCGACAAAAAAATGCATAAAAATACAGAATATAAAAAAATATCGATATTTCACATCCTGTATAAGGTCATAAATTCCAAAACCATTTCGAGATATTGACTTGAAGATTTGAGAAAGTTGATTTGCAGAAGGATACAAAAATCCTGGGGAATACGAGAGCTACTGAACTTTTTCGGTCATGTAACACTCTTTTTGACCACTTGGTATGTCATAACGGAAAACTTCAAAGAGTTTGGAACAATGAATCGTAAACAGGAAGGACGCATCTTTTGAACACTGCATTCCGATTGAAAATCGGTTCATTTGCAAAAAAGTCATCGCATTTTAAAAAACGTTGAAAATTCGAGTGGTTCACTCAATTCTTTGGGCGCTTCATTTCATAGGAATCGAAAACCACCTCATCAGGTTGAACTTAAAAATAGTAGACATTAGAGTCACTACTAATACCATCCATAATTTCTAGTAGACATACCATCAATACTCACCTTTTAATCAGGTACTCGATATATTCTTTATAGGAATCATTGAATGGTGTAATGGCATTGTTCTTCAGAAAATGAGCAAATCTAGCACAAGTAGTGACAATAATCTGGTGCTCACTGATCAGCTCTTCTTTTTTTTTCATGACACTTTGCAAAGTTCTCTCAGCCTCCTCCACCAATTTAGTTTTGTCATAAATGTTTTTCTTAACGTTATCATCGACTTCTCGGATTTCTTTAACTTTGGTCTTGTAATAAATGTGTTGGTGCACTTTGAAACTGCATCCACATCTTTGACAATCATTCTTTCTATCCATGGCAGCACAATTGACCAATTGAGGATCGCCGATCATTTCTCTCATTACGTTGGAAAGATAACAGTGTTCGTGGCACTTCTGTTTGTAATGCCAGATATTCCTGCCCAATTTCTAGAAGAGAAATGTTGTTATTCACATGATGAATGCGAAAGTCAAGTAAGTTCTTAATAAACAAAAAAATATTAAAAATATGTATGGCTAACGAGATGAGTAAAGTAATAATATTGTTTTTTCTACTACTGGTGTGAAAAGTAGCGCATTTCTCATAGCTAACTTAGTTTCAAAACCATGTATTGCACTTACTGTGAGAAATTATTTTTCTACAAGCGTGCGTGATTCACCCTATACCCGCACGCAATTTAGTTTGGAAAGTGTCATTTTTCCGCAACATTGCGGGAAAAACAAAGATATGATAATATGGCAAAATATAAGATCATAGGTGATGTAATATGAGGGTTTGAGTTTGTTTGTTGCAGTATTAAGTAAGTATGTTCAGAATCATCCATCAAATTGCACTATTCATTGTGAAAATTGAGAAATATTGATGAAGAAATGAAAATACCGAATAAAAAAGAAGTATTTTTAGCTCATTTCCTAGAAGTGTCTGAAACCTAGAGACAAAACATCTTATGAGCCTGCTGGCTTCTGCAATGAACCCATACATAATGCGTCAAACTGTAAGTTCACAATATCAATTACCAATAATCAGTAGATAGAGAATATATTTCCCTTGTTAGTTGTTCCTATATGAATGAATAATTAATTGAACAAATCAATCAATTTCCTACGCTTGTAGAAAAAATATTGTTCCGCGTCGTTTGTGTCAACGGCAGTTGCGTGCGGGAAAGAATCACTTTCCGCACTTGTTAGGAAAATTACTATTTTCTACTATTGCTATGAAAAGTAGCGCATTTCTCATAGCTTTCTTAGTTTCAAAACCATGTATTGCTATCATAACGTGAGAAATATTTTTTCTCACGGCACTTTGCCAACACCACATACATTTCCATGGAGAATCAACAAAAATCGACCAAAATTCAATTGGCTAGTGTTCAGCTTTGAATAGTTGTTAGAACTGTTAGAAGACGTTTTTTTAAGTGCTTTTGATAGAAATCGCATTTCCATCAAATATTATTCCAACAATTCATAATAAATAATACGATGTTTATACCGAGATGTGACGATTTTGATAAATACACCGCCCAGAGACAGAGATAATGGAAAAAGCTGCGAAAGTTGGATTTGTTTCCGGAAATTTCAAGAAAAAAGTATGAATTGGCATAAACGGAAAATTTATGGAATCTAAAAAAATACAGAAATAAAATCTTTTTCGGATAGTGTCCTTTTTTGAAATACTTTGAGGAACTAGGAAAGGCGTCTACTCTTGGATTGTTTGGATAAGTGCAGTTGTAGAAAAAGTATAGTGTGCAACATGTGGGGAAAAGTACTTTTCTCACTCGTGTGTTTACATCACTCGCCCTTCAGGCTCGTGCCACAAACTTTCACACTCGTGAGAAAAGTTGAACTTTCCCCACTTCTCGCACAATATACTATTTTCTGTGACGGGAAAAAAGTTTGAAATCTCATCTCTGTTGACAGGTTATAAAATGTCACTCTTCATCAATTATTTAGGGAAGGAAATTTCGAACTTTTTCTGGAAATATCTCGATAAATAGTGGTTTGTTCACATTTACATCAACAAATTCGTGTTTTTTAGACAAAAATATCAGAGTACCAACAAAAAAAAAATTTAGAAAAAAAACCCATCGCATGATAAGTGCAAAATTACCAAGAGGAAAAAAAGGAGTAGATCGCTTAAGGATCTATTATACAGCATATAATATGGAAATCAATGAGAAAATCATTATCCTTTTATATAATTCAAGTTCATTTTACAGGTATATCAGTCTCGATTCACACAATTTGATCACTGAAAGATGCCAGAGGCATACTACGAAAAAGTTTGGGGGGGATAAAGAAGCCTCTACCCCCAAAAACGTATCTCCCTGTATATTTTAAAAATCTTTAAATGGCTTGAAATGATGATCTTCTAAAAAGTATTGAACACACCAAATTTCGAAACGATATCTAGAAAAGAAAGCGAGATATTTCAATTATTAGAAAAAAATAATTAAACTTTGACCCCCTGTAGCTCCGCTAATAAACGAGATCGGACTTATGTTTATATAAACTTTTTTGATCAAAATGATGAGATGTATCTCCCATTTCAGTTTGTGCCTTAAAACCTGATGAATCACCCTGTATATGAATCACCTGTACGGATATTTGGACAAAACGAGTTTTTCCTGCAGAATTACCGATTAATAATTACCTGATAAACTTTAGCGCACTTGCTAGTGGTGCAAACTGTTGACGGATGAGTCATTGCCACGACTTCCAAGTCAATAGTTGGGATGAACAGTTTACTCTTGAGCTCATCCAATGTGTCATAATCCATTAGAAGACTTTCTTCTTGTCTTCTCAGTGCATACATATTATGGTCGATGAGTTGAGATATTTCGGCTAGAGGTTGTGCCAATTGGTTTATCACTCTTCTAGCCTCATTTATTGCACTGGTGCTCTTGACATCATGTGGTTTCAAGGGAGGATTATTAGCATCACCAACGATATAATTGATCATCCTGGAAAATAGATTAATTCATTACATTTTGCCCCGCGCCCCCTTAATTAACTCTTATTTCGAAATGGCTATTTCACGAGACTCTCAGGGATCGGTTGATATAGTGGGTGTTACTCGGTAAGGAAGAAATAATAATAAAATAAAAATAGTTATTTTCCGTCGACCTCGTATTAACGACTAAGTTTAATGTATATGAAATCGTTCATTAATGACCCCTATTAATAAACGATTTGTCTATTAATGCACGATTGTTTTATAGGCAACCAAACATACACCGCGTGCATTCATTGTTTATGCTATAACTTACGGAATCTGCATTTAAATCGAAAATATGGATTTCATCGAAGATTTTCTGTTAACGGGTTCGCCTTTCCAAGTTTCTGACACGATTTTTTTTCCCTGTTTTCTAACACAAGGAATTTATTTTCTATGTTTATCATTTCGACAAATGTCAAATGTCACTAATGTCAGTGACAAGGCTACTGGGTTATTCTTAGCAGTTTCCGGATGAATGATGAATTCGCGAACCAAGTTTTCTTCATTGCAGGAGAAATGAGAAATATAGTCGACGGAAAAATTTTGTAACCAACTTGTATATTAAAAGGCGATTAATGATCTCAAACATTAACGCGCGCTCGCTTCGCTCGCACGTTAAAATATCTCGATCATTAATCGCCCTCATTAATACACTAGTTGGTTAAATAACTATTAACCAACTAGTGTATTAATGAGGGCGATTAATGATCGAGATATTTTAACGTGCGAGCGAAGCGAGCGCGTTAATGTTCGAGATCATTAATCGCCTTTTAATATACAAGTTGGTTACAAAATTTTTCCGTCGACTATATTTCTCATTTCTCATGCAATGAAGAAAACTTGGTTCGCGAATTCATCATTCATCCGGAAACTGCTAAGAATCACTCACTAGCCTTGTTACTGACATTAGTGACATTTGACAGTAGTAGTAGTAGTAGTAGTAGTTTTATTGATCCATTAAAACGAGCTTACAAAAGCCATTGGACAAGTCAGAATACATGAAATATACAAATAAACATTTAAATAATTGACAATAAGGTAAAATGACTAAAATAAGATAAAAATATTACATACAAAAATCATCAGTTCTGCAAAAATGTAAAAAACTCATCAACTGTATATGGGCTAATTTCAAAGAGGAGATTTTTCAATCTATATTTAAACACTTTCTCATTACTTGAACATTTTATATTTTCTGGAATAGCATTATATGCCCTGAGTCCCAGAGATTCGAAAGAATTATTGAGACACAGAGACAATCGTGTCGTAGGCAAATGGAATTTGTTTTGGTTCCTGGTATTGTAATTGTGGATATGATTATTTTTTATGAAATTATCTCTATTATTGTGCACAAAAACTAGAATTTCCATGATATAAACACCTGCTAAAGGTAATATTTTGAACTTCTTGAACAGATTTCGGCATGACTCTAGAGGTGATACTTTCGCAATTATCCTGATAATTCGTTTTTGTGTTGAAAAACACATCGTGCCGATGGAGAATTTCCCCAGATGATAAGTCCATAGCTGAGTCTGGATTGAATTTCTCCAAAATAATTGAAAATGATTAACATAGAAAATAAATTCCTTGTGTTAGAAAACAGGATTTAAATATCGTGTCAGAAACTTGGAAAGGCGAACCCGTTAATGGAAAATCTTCGATGAAATCCATATTTTCGATTTAAATGCAAATTCCGTAAGTTAAAGCATAAACAATGAATGCACGCGGTGTATGTTTGGTTGCCTATAAAACAATCGTGCATTAATAGACAAATCGTTTATTGATTCAAATTCAAATTCACTTTATTTTCCTTTTTGAACAGCAAGTACACTGTATTAGGTTCGTCATACATTAATACATAATGAAGTATGAATGAATAAATGATGAATGAATAAATGATAGATGATAGATGAGAGAATGAAGCTACAAAAAAAAAATATGGATACAATTAAAAGTAAAAGTAGAGACATAGATACATATCAGAGGAGAGCATCTCTGCTCTTCATAAGTATAAAGAAATCTTCCACATTGTAGAGAGGATTCGCTGTTAATAGTTATTTATGCAACAAGTGCAAAAAGTGAATGTTTGTGTTGTCCAACTCGGCCTGACGGCCTCGTCGGACAATTTCACGTCGAATGCAATAAACAATTTTTGCACGAGTAGCATACAACATTTTTTCTACGTTCATGCAAAAAGCAAAAAATGATTTATTGAGGTGCGGCACTAGGTACAATTCTGTTAATTGTCAGAATTAATTTTTGACTGACGTTTCTATAACCACAGTTGCATTATAGAAAATGTTTGTCATGATGACAGCACGTTGAAGTAGAATGACAGATGAGTGCAATAAAAACTTTATTGCACTAAGTGCAATAAAGAACTTCTTTTTCCACTAAATATAGTTCAATAAAGTTCTGTTTTTTGCATGAATGTAGAAAAAAAATTTTTCAGCTTTGTTTTGAACAAGTTGAATCTCAAGTCACGAAAATCAGAGGGCAATGAATTAAAAAGCTTGACACCTATGTCATCACATCTTTTTAAGCGTGTGAGGGGCAGTATCAAATTGTTGTTTTTCCTGGTGTTGTGTGAGTGAACATCAGAGTGTACCTTATAAGTATTTAAGTTGCTCTTCACTTCTACTAATTTCTCATATACAATTAGAGAGTAAAGTGCCATTAATTGGAGTTCCATAAACAGTGGTTTGCTGGAGACCTCTCTATTCACATTCAATATACTTCTTATGGCATGTTTTTGTGTCAGGAAAAGTTTATGTAGATGTACTTGGGAAGCTGAGCACCAGACATTTAATCCATACCTGAGGGTAGATTCAAAAATGGAATAGGGGTCCTTAATGAACGATTTCATATACATTAAACTTAGTCGTTAATACGAGGTCGACGGATAATAGTTATTTAACCAACTAGTGTATTAATGAGGGCGATTAATGATCGAGTTATTTTAACGTGCGAGCGAAGCGAGTGCGTTAATGTTCGAGATCATTTATCGCCTTTTAATATACAAGTTGGTTACAAAATTTTTCCGTCGACTATATTTCTCATTTCTCCTGCAATGAAGAAAACTTGGTTCGCGAATTCATCTTCCATCCGGAAACTGCTAAAAATCACCCAGTAACCTTGTTACTGACATTAGTGTCACTTGACATTTGTCGAAATGATCAACATAGGAAATACATTCCTTGTGTTAGAAAACAGGGATTGAAATCGTGTCAGAAACTTGGAAAGGCGAACCCGTTAACGGATAATCGTCGATGAAATCCATATTTTCGATTTAAATGCAGATTCCGCTAGTTATAGCATAAACAATGAATGCACGCGGTGTATGTTTGGTTGCCTATAAAACAATCGTGCATTAATAGACAAATCGTCCCAGATAGCACACATTCGCCTAAGGTCATCCTCAATGTGTCGCCAAACGCCTGGAGAGGACGTTCTATTTTCTACAACCTAAGAACATCATCAGGCGTAAATTTAGCGCTGTAATTGTCCTAAATGAGTTCTTTCAGTGACAGCCTGAGGATGTAAAGAATTTCGTGCCTACGGACGTCTTTAGATGACATTCCATGAAATAACGTGTCATCGAAGACACAAGGAAGAAAAAGAAGAACTAGAATTGAGGTTATGTCTCATGATAGTCATGATTTGTTCAAGATACATCATAATATTAATAATTATATCAAAATTATTAGAGTATTCATCGAATACCTCCATCATGCATTCATTAAATTTCTATTTCACAAAATGATTGCGAGAAGAACTTATTGCACAGAATTAAAAGATAACAATAACAAAAGGATGATAATCTCTGTTGATGACATTTCTCTCAGGTAGCAAGAAACAAAGGTGAGTAAATACTTAATAGAATCATTGATAGTACCGGACATGAAATATTGATACATTCATATACATTATTTATTGTTTCAGGAGGTTATTGAGAACACAAACTTGATGATATCATCATAGCAAACATGTTTTATTCCAAGATATATTTGCTTCTTCAGAATCTATAAAATATTGTATGGAAGCTAGAACATTCAGTATGAATTCAATAAAGGTAGGTACCTGAATCAAATCATTGATATAGTAGGTACTGGACATGAAATGTTAATAGGTTAATTATTTGTTTCAGATGGAGTTATTGAGAACACAAGATGATGATGTCATCAGAGCAAAGATGTTTCATTCCAAGATATTTTGGCTTCTTCGAAATCTATGTGAGATTGTATGCATGTTTGCACTTTCAGTATATTCAATAAAGGTAGGTTCCTAAATCAAATCATTGATATAGTAGGTACTGGAACATGAAATATTTATAGGTACATTATTTGTTTCAGGAGGTTATTGATAACACAAAATGATGATATCATCAGAGCAGAGATATTTTATTCCAAGATATTTTGGCTTCTTCGGAAATTATGAAAGATTGTACATAATGCAGACTTGAACTTTCAGTAGATTCAATAATGGTTGGTACCTTACTACATAAATCATATCATTGATAGTAAGTACTGGACATAAAATATTAATACATTGTTTGTTTCAGATAGTTTTGCTTTTTCAGAATCTATAAAATATTGCATGAAGGCTTCAACTTCCAGTTGATTCTGCATCAGGAATATCCAGAAATCAGAAATCAAAAACAACATGGAGAAATATAACTACCAATAGGCAATAACTTCTAGTAGTGCTCAACAAGAAGCTGAAATACATTTCTTCAAAAAGGAAATTGAAATTTTTCAGAATAAGTTATAAATAATAGAATGTAAGTTTTTCATTTGGTTTTTCATTTGAACCTATTATAAATAGAGGGAAATTTTGCAAATAACATGAGATCCATATTTTTTGAAGAAATTATCATTTGCATAATACAAGGTGAGTCAATAGTGTGTTATCCTTGTATATTAGCCAAACCATCAGATAAATAGAGAAAATTCAAGTACCTACAAC